CAACAAGAAGAAAGGTGCATGAAACAAAACTAATACAGTAATACGCTGTTTTACGTTTCCTCTACTTTTCTTTTTTCCTTAACATTTTAAATAATAATTATCTAAATTTTAATTAAAAGGATAGCTTTATCTGGCAAGTCTCTTCCACTTGTGCTCACGCACGACCGAGGGCAGCCGGTATGTGCGCCGTGTCCGGCTATGTGCCTATATAAATTTCGAACGCCCAACCACCGTCTTCCTCTTCAATGAAGAAAACAAAAACGTTGACTTTATCAAACTAAAAATTATTAGGCCTTTTAAAGGCGGATTACAAGCTTACAACGTGGCTACGAAAATAAACCTTGCTCAAATCACTGTGAGCCCTATAATCTAGGACAGAGAGATGATCCACACTGGTAAAAAATTCCCAATCGCTCAATTCAACAACATTTCAGAAATGTCATAGACTTATTTCTGAAATGGAACCTTCAATAAAAGTATGGTGTGATAACTAAGTTAGATAAGAGTTGGCCTGCAGATTAAAATACGAGATGCAACGAAGCCAAATTGATTTTCAAAAGCTGAAGAGGAATCTAGAAATACAGAGAAGAATGAAAGTTTCATATCCAGCAATGGCTGGTTCAACAGATTTAAACAGCGCTGTGACTGGCACACGACTGAAGGGACTGGAGAAGAGGCGAATGCTGATAAAGGACCTGCTATTCCTTTCCCTGAAAAATTGAAGAAGATGACAGAGGATTGACAGTATTGCTCCAAGACCATATTTAATGTTAATCAAACAGGCTGCCTGGAAAAAGATGCTTAGAAGAAAGTTTACTGCTCGTGAGGAAAAACATTTCCCTGAATTTAAAATGACAAGAAATAGGTTCACTCTGACGCTGGGTTGGAATGCTGCCGGTGATTACAAATTAAAGACATTTCTGATCGATCATTCCGAGAATCCTAGAGCTCTGAAGAATAAATCCAAGACTGGCCTTCCAGTGATATCGAAATCCAGCTCTAATGGATGGATCACTACTTCTGTTTTTGAAGACTGGATTGTCATTATTTTACTTTTGAGACTGAATGCTGTTGCTACTCTCAGAACCTACCTTTAAAAGTAATGCTGATTCTCGACCTAGAGCACCCTCTAGCAACTATGATGGACTTTGATCCTCAAGTGAACGTGGTGCTTTTGTATGCAAATACAACAGGTTTCATTGAACCAATGGACTAGGGTATGATTAAAATATCTACGGCTCACTGTACCTGACGGGTCTTTAACCATCTGAATGCAACAATGACACACAACATTGAGATGACTGAAAGATTTCTGGAAAGCTTTTAACGTTCTGGATTCAGTGAGAATTACAGGAGACTCTTGGGCAAAAATTTGCGAAAGAACCGTTAATGTTATGAAAAACATCTGTCCGCTCTTTAGACAAAACTTGATCACGGCTCCAGAAATTGATCACGTTGCTGAAACAACAGATGAAATTATCTTTTTGCTTCACAACCTGATTTAGAGGTTGACGCTGAAGATGTCATGGAATTATTCTGTTGGACTGCCATAACGAAGGGCTCAATCTGGATGATAATATAGATATTTATAACCAAAATGCTGTTTAGTAAGCTTAAGAGACTGAACTGGAACGGATCATAACGATTGCAGTCGGAAGGTTAACTGAAGGTCTTAAACTGATTGAGGCCAGTCTGAAGGTTCTAGAAGAAAT